CCCCCCCCCTTAACATAAGTAAATATAGTTTCGGATATTACCATGACGGATTTGTTCTTTTATATGTTTAAATAAAGAATAATACATGGGTGCGCGGAAATACCAGATTTATTTCGATTGTTGAACATGATATCTCACGAGTGAGCGCATCGAACGAGTGAGATAACATGTTCAATACGAGAAATAAATCTGGTATTTCCAATCCAAGCACCCATGTATTTTTCTGTTTATTATATAAAGGACAGGCTTTGAAAAGCGATAAATTTCACAGAAAAGCAATAATTGAAAAGCGATAATTTTCACATGTGAGATTATCATGAATAATCTCACATGTGAGATTATCATGTGAGATTATCACTTTTATCAGTGCTCGAAATCTCTACTAAGCACTATACTTTATATAATAATATGCAATTATTGGATTAAAAAACTCGACAACTTGCTTTGGGTATAAGTTGGTTGTCAACTTGTCAGACATGAACAGTTTCTTGCTAGACGCCTGTTCTGTATAAAAGGTGATATCAATATCACTATGTTATTCACACTTGTTGCTATCAGTTGAGGTAATGCTCAAAATGGATAAACATTAGGATTTTGGGCATCCCACTCGATATAACTAATTGTTGAAGGGAATGAACAACGTGCATGTTAGACTAAATTTTAATCTAAGTAAAGAGAAGGGAATCAAACACCACAGCTAAAAAGAACGTAATGGAATTTATAAAATTGCAAAATTTGGTTACCAAATGTTGTAAAATACGGAAAATATAGCCTTGCAAAGTTTGCAAATTTTGTATATGTTTGTATTACGTACGGGAATTGTTACCATTTTCGGCTCAAAAATGGTAACAATTTCCGCACGTATACAAACATATACAAAATATGCAAACTTCGCAAGGCTATATTTTCCGTATTTTACAACATTTGGTAACCAAAGTTTGCAATTTTACTAATTTTAATAAGATCTTTACGGGAAATTTCTTTTTTTCGCCTAGATCAAAAATTAGTCTAACATGCAAGTTGTCTATTGTAGATGGAAATTTCGAGTGTCAAGGCCAGAGGGCCGATATTTTTCGCAACTTCTCCTGGTTTAGGTCTAATAAAGGTATAAAAAATTCCACTCGAAACTTAAATTTACAACTTCCTTGAACAATGCTCAAAATGGTTGTTTGTTATCAAGGCATTCTATCACGCTTGGTGTATGAAACACATATCACAAAAACACGATCATTCCTTTGGTGTAAAATCAAAACATATATATATGGGAATAACATTTCCACTCTTGTGCAGTCTGCTTCCTCTGTTTTCATGGCTTTGTTTCCTGTACGTTTTTGTCTGCATCATCAACCTTGCTAGGTTCTTATTCGGTTATTTGCTCTGCGCTAGGTTGATCTTTGTTTTCTTCTGCTTTTGTTTCTTCATCTTCACTATCTTCCTCAGGCTATATAGAGAATAGGAGATTATTATACATCACCAGTGGCAGTCGTCTCAGCCTAGACTATCTATTTTTGTAACAATTGAGATATTACCTTCCTAACTGTGTTTATCCTAACCCACCCTGTCACTCAGTGCTGCACAGAGAAATTCGGGGCCTGGGGCAAATTTTTAATTGGGGCATACATCAGTGGTGAAGTCCTGGAATGTTAACAAGGGGGGCTCTCCAACAGGGGCGAAATGTCGGTATTACGGCTGGGGGCGGGCTTGTTTTGCCCGACCGAAAGGGCGTTTCCAAAGTCGTTCCTGAGGGGATGAACATTTGATCAGTCGCTAATCAATATTTCTTTTCCCAAAATTGTTGGTGAGCGGAGCATTTTTCACTACCACTTTCCTACCACTATAACTTTTCAATCTGAGACACTCAAATATTTTCAAAATTTGCCCGACTAAATTGTATGGGTATACCCGATGGGATAGAGACAGGGGGTGTCACCCCCCCCCCCATATATAACATATTCATTACACAGATCTAAGGCTGGTATACTTTAATTTAGGGTATTATAATTAGTTGCGGTAGTAATCATGTGTTTATAAAATGCTCCGCCGTCCGTCGTCCGCCTTTTATCCGTCCGCCTTTTATCTACACCCATTCAATTCGGTGTGGTTTTGAAAGAACAAGGCAATTCTATTTGTATTCCTTATAATATTTGATTTGTGGTATTGTGGTTTGGTGACGAGCAGACGAATTGTTCGGCTGAGTCACTATATTACTATTATTAGTATCAGTATATTAGTATTTGACTATTGCAAAGACTTACAATGACAATGTTTGTATTAAAATACAGTTGATATTTACAAACGAAGACTTCAAGACGGAGTTTCAGTAGAACGAAACATTGTGGATAATACGAGTTCTTTGTCAATCCACATTGAAGTGTAAATAGATACATGAAAATTAATATATTCACGAAACACGAATGGAACGACTGGTGACCGGTGGACCGATTGGGCGAATATGCACGTAAATCTCTCTATGCGTACCCTCTGATGCGTACCGATGGGCAGATCAGGCACCACACTTGTGCTGCCTCGTACCCAGGAGTCTCTTTGTAAAAAAAACAGTGATGCGCATATGGCGAGTTTACATGAAGTATTGTAGTGGTGAGAGAAGGACGAAGGGGCTTCATGTACACGCGTAAAAATCATCATGTTGATGCAAGTTGTTCAAAACAGGAGCGAACAATGTTGTGCTGCACCCCGTGAACAATATTGTTAACAAGTTGTTGAACCATCAACATTGTTGCAACTTGTTGACAATCATGTTAACAACTTGCAACAGTACTGATGGTTGAACAACTTGTTAACAATATTGTTCACGGGGTGCAGCACAACATTGTTCACTCCTGTTTGAGTTGCGCTGCACCCCGTGAACAATATTGTTAACAAGTTGTTCAACCATCAGTACTGTTGCAAGTTGTTAACATGATTGTCAACAAGTTGCAACAATGTTGATGGTTCAACAACTTGTTAACAATATTGTTCACGGGGTGCAGCACAAC